AACACATTTTATGAATTTGTATTAGCATCACAACAAAAGTTTGTTTGGTATTGGGCCAAATATCTGATTAAGGCACGTTTTGACATTTCAACTAAAGAGTCTGATTTTGAAGGATATTTATTCACTTAGCTCTAAGTGTTTATGCTTTTAAATGGATTGTTGTACCTTAGTGCTTTGAACGTGTTTTGGTATTGCTTATGTTTTTCAGTATTTTATTGTTTGTTTTTTAGTATTTGTATACTTATTGTTGTTAGTTCTAATATTGTTTTTTGTTGTTGTAAGCCGCCTTGACGTAGTGCTTTGAATGTGTTTTGGTATTGCTTATGTTTTTCAGTATGTTATTGTTTGTTTTATAGTATTTGTATACTTATTGCTGTTAGTTCTAATATTGTTTTTTATTGTTGTAAGCCGCCTTGAGTCCTTTTAAGGAGAAAGATGGGGTAAAAATATTATAATATAATATAATAATTTTTATCTCATCTTTCTCCTTAAAAAGACTTAAGGTGACTTATATAAGCTGCCTATATAGAGAGAGTCCTTTTAAGGAGAGAGATATTTATAATATATCTAATATATATATAATAGGCATCAATCTTGGAGCCAACTGTTCTGTGCCTGTGAGAGTAAAAGGTGAAAGAAGAATGTAAGGAGTGATGAATATTTGTCTTACTATTTGTGCTATGTTCCTCAATCTTGGAGTCAACTGTTCTGTGCCTGTGAGAGTGAAAGGTGAAAGAAGAATGTAAGGAGTGATAAGATGAGTATTTGTCTTACTATTTGTGCTATGTTCCTCTCTATTCCTTTTGATATGTATTCCGTTGACTATGTGATATTAGTGCTAATTGTGAATAGATCTGATCTTTTAGTATGAGTATGAGCCCTATCATGGTCAGATCATCATCTGCTGAAATTCGGCCTGGCAATACAACAGCCCCCCTTGGGGGACACAGGGCCAATTAGGTTTGTCCACCCATGGAGTCTCTTAGATCCAATTGATTTCCAATATGCCTTGGGTGGGTTTTGGGATGAGTTGGTTGGTGTGAGTGATGAAGCCCAGGTTGCAGAATGGTATTCAGTGGTGACTTGGGCAGTTGACTCCCTTGCACCTAAACGTCTTATCTGTGCCAGGGCTCACTCCTCCCCCTGGTTCTCGGAGGAGGTGCAAGCCATGAAACAAGCTAGGAGAAGGCTAGTAGAGAGCATTTGGAGAAAAGCTCCCATTGATGTTAATTGGATTGTGATAAAAAAGAGGTCCAGCAAGTATTGTAATTGCCATAGAGACCACCAAGAAAGCATATGACATCAGGTATATCAGTGAGGCCGCTGAATACCAGGCGGAACTCTTCAGGGTGTTCCTCAACCTCACTGGAGCTAGACAACATCCAGCACGTCAACTGGATGTCACTACTTGTGAGCAGTTCACCGCCCATTTTTGTGCCACGACTGAAGCCATCCGTAGGGATCTTGACTCTAAGTCATATTGAGATGTTTAATACATTGTATGGTCTTGGATCCATTTCAGCCCATGTGCTGATGACATGGACAAAGCACTTGCATTCTGTAAGGCCACCACCTCCTGTTCAGATCAATGCCCCTTCTGGCTCTTAAAAACATTGAATGGGCCACTCAGATTGTGAATTCTTCCTTACCAGAGGGATATTTACCTTCTATTCCGAAGGAAATGATGATTGGGCCCATTCTGAAAAAAAGTCAACTTGTCAACTGATGAGGTTGACAACTAACTACCATCCGGTTGCTAACATACCATTCAAGGGGAAACTGAGAGGTTGGTGGCTGACCAGCTGCCTGTGTTCTTGGATGATAATGATGGTGTGGATCCATTTCAATTTCAATTTCATTTCAGGGTTCAGGCCATGTCATGAGAATGAGACAGTTCTGGTCACTCTGCTAATGATCTGTTACAGGAGGCTGACTGGGGGAGTGTGACCGTGTTGGTTCTCCTGGACCTTTCAGCCACGTTTGCTATCATCAACTATGGTACCCTCCTGGGCCAGTTGCCAGCATGCCTAAATTTATCCTGGCTTCATTCCGTTTTGGATGGCCAGCTTCCCCAGAGAGTCCAGCTTGGGGAAGCTGTTTCATTCCTGTGGACACTACAATGTGGTGTTCCACAGGGGTTGATAATTTCATTAACATCTATATGAGACTGGTAGGGGAGATCATTCGGAGTGTGTTGTCATCAGTACGCTGACAACATGCAACTCTATCTCTCCTTTTCTTCTTCGGCAAGGGAAGCTATACAGACTCTTGAGTGTTGTTTGGCTGTGGCTAGGGACTGGATGAGAGCAAATAGGCTGAAACTGAATCCTGACAAGTGGACTGGATGAGAGCAAATAGGTTGAAACTGAATCCTGACAAGATGGAGATCCTGCTGTTGGGAGGTTATGGGGTTATGCTGCCTGGTGGGTCACAGTGCTCCTGAAGGATCAGGCTTGAAATCTCTGATCTTGGTGGGTCATAGTGCTCCTGAAGGATCAGGCTTGAAATCTGAGTGTGCCTTTGGATCCGTCTCTCTCAACAAAGAAATAGATCTTGGCTGTAGTCATATCTGCCTTTTCCCATCTGAGGCAGATGGCACATCTCCACCTCGTTCTCGACAGGAAGTCTATAATAGCACTGGTTCATGCACTGGCAAACTCAAGGATTGACTATTGCAATGCTCTGTACGTGGAGCTGCCCTTGAAGTCAGTTCAGAATCTGCAGCAAGTGCAAAATGTGGCATCCAAATTGGTCACTGGTACATCTAAATTTGTCCATATTTCACCTGTCTTGGCTCAGCTGCACTGGCTCCCAGTATGCTTCTGGCCAAATTCAAGGTACTGATGTTAACTCATAAAGCCTTTTGCAGTTTAGGGCCTCGCTACCTGTCAAAGCACCTGTCCCTCAGGTCATCCTCCCATCCCACCCACACATCCCAATCAATGCTGTGGATGGCCACTCCAAGAGAGGCCTGGAAGTCATCAACCAGAGGCTGGGCCTTCTCAATAGTGGCTGCCCCGCTCTGGTATTCCCTCCTTGTGGAAGTGTGATTGGCCTTCACCCTCCTGAGCTTGCATAAGCAAGTGAAAACCTGGCTTTCTACCTAGGCTTTTCCAAACCACAATACTTTGTAATATTAATTTTGTACTTAGTTTATGCTGGCCCATGATTTGCCTAACAGGTTTTTGTTTTATATGCTCTCTTTTTTAAAAAAATTGTTGTAAAGTATATTTTGGTTATTTTCTGGAAGCTGCCCAGAGTAGTAGCTTGTCCACTAAATGGGCAGGGGTGCAAGTTTAAACAAGGAAAACAAACAAACAAATAAATTTTATTTGGCTGGCACTGGTTATGTTGTTATTTGTGTTGTTTCCAGTTGCATTATTTGGTCCTGCCTTTGGCTTACGTGATCACTTATATTTGTCCTCTGGGGCAGTAGCTGGACATGTCCAACTGATATCACCGATAACGTGCAGAGTGGGATGTGACGTGGGCGTGACCCCTACTCTCCTTGTCTGGTAGACTACAACTGGAATGCAATTTGTAAATTGTTGTTTTTAAAATATCTTTTTTTCCTAGTTTAGCACTATAGCTGTAGCGCTACATTGATACTGCACAGATTCAAATACTTAACACACCTTGTCAGTTCAGCACAATTTCACTTGTTAAGCATTAATTTTTTAAAAGATTTTGAAGGCAGGTGAAAGAGGAAGGTGGGAGAAGGGTGAGGGGGAAAGAGGGCTGTGTGATGTCTAGATATTTGAAACACATTTTCCTTGGGATAATGAAACATTGTTATGTGAATAGTTACAGTGATCTAAATGCCAGAATGAGGTCTAGAGAAGGTCACATCAATATGGGACAGACGTCTTTGTGGTCACATCCTTAGATTCATCCCTTTGGACAATGTAGACATTAAGACACTGTTGACTCCATACGTGATCTGTCATCCAAATAGGGCACCTGGCAGCATTAACCTGAAATTATGAACTCAAGCAATCATCTTTCTTTGAGCTATCTTTGGTCAGTTCCAGTGCCATAAAGCAGGGGTAGACAATTCTGGCAGGTCCAGGTGCCTCCCTCTTTTTTTGTCCTGGACCCTTGAAGAGCTACACGAACCACCAGAAATGTCAACCAACACACACACACACACACACACACACACACACACACACACACACACACACACACACACACACAGAGAGAGAGAGAGAGAGAGAGAGAGAGAGAGAGAAACTCATACACCTCAAAACCCAAAGTGGCTTGGATTCTATTGCTGATTTTGAAAACTGGATTTTCTGCACGTCTGTTTTTGTGTATCGATGATTCCCTTCAACCCATTTAAAAGATGAATGTCCATAAGAGCTAGGGCCACAAAACCAGCCTCAGGGCTTGCATACAATGGTGTAGCAGTTAAAATGATGCATTTGGGAGTGGGAGATACGGTTTAAAGTACCCAGTTGGCCCTGATATTTGTACATATGTCACCTTGCACTTGCTAGAGGACAGGAAAGATATAAATGTAGCAATAAATAAATAAATAGCATGGACATAAAAGCCTAGATTTTCTTCCCTTATGTTATCTGCTTCTTAAAAACGAGTCATTTCTGAATCGACAACATAGGTATAGATTAAAGCTTGAAAAATGAAGCTAAAACTCCTATAATTCCTAGACTGGTGGGGTACTGCAGTCCAAAAAAGTAATGTTTGAAAGCACCAGTAAGCAATTGCCAGAAATTGGTTTTCTTCTCTCTGAAAAATAATAAAGATCTGAATGAATGCTACAGTCACTGAACGATTCTCTTTCACGTCTGTTTCCTTTTGTCATCCTAACTTTTTCTGCTTGAATTGTGTACATATTTACCTTAGTGTGTCACCTCCCTCTTTACAGGTACTGGGCGATAATAACTCCACTTTTCTCTGGCCACTTACTTACATGTTTTGCAACAGGCATTCAGATTTCAGATTATCCTGCTCTAATCGTTCTCAAGACATCCAGTGCAATGGCCAGCGTAGCAATTAAACTGGCCAAGGAGAAGGAAGTCTTGGAAGGCCTAGGTTCCCAGGGGAATGCAGTGAAATACTTAAAACAGGATTTTGAGGTGCTGAGGAAGCAATGCTTACAATCTGGTACCTTGTTCAAAGATGAAGAATTCCCTGCTTGTCCTTCTGCTCTCGGCTATAAGGACCTGGGGCCTTATTCTCCTAAAACTCAAGGCATTATATGGAAACGACCTTCGGTAAGAATATTGTGTTCTGCTGATTGCTAGGTTCAAATAATATTTTAGTGATCAAAGGACAATGCCAAAAACTTGCTATGATCTTATATTAACCGTGCTTCTTGGAACCTCAGAAAAGTTTGTTTTCATAGGCTTGGCCTGCACCTTGCTCTTGTAGGCTTCACCAGGAGTGAAATTGTCCCTTCCGAGAGGGTTTGTCCTTTGCGAGTCACTCTGGTTGCGAATCAATGCATCTGAAATTGGGGATGTTGGGGAACGACAACATCTGACTTCAGGGACATTCATTCTTCTTCCCAGAAATGCAAAGTACTGTATGTAAATGAAAGGCCCACATTATGCTCTGTGGATGGTGACGGTCTGCAATAAGGAACATCTGGCAACATTCAGCAGCACTGAAAATGTCTGGAAATATATCCATTTAGGATTTCCTTCTGTGCTTTGCCAATTTTGGAGATTTTAATAGGCTTGTTTTTTACAGTGCTTATTTTAGAGGCAGGAAGGGTTTCAAAGATATATTGCTGGCATATGAGCTTTCAGAGCAGTGATAGGCAAATCTATCTATACTAGGTCCCTGCCATTTTTCCGTTTTGTTCTAGTTCTTTACGAATCCACCATTCACACAGAAAAATGCACTGCAAAACGCATTTTAATATACAGTATTTTTAATAGATTGTCTTCTGTTTCAGTGCATATTCTCTCTCTCTCTATATATATCCAGTGTGTTCCCCACTGCACAAGGAATGGGACATACATGCCAAAGCTGACAGTTCTCAGTGCCACATCTTTTCCTTTTCCTCCCCTTTATTTATTTTTTAATCTGGTACTAAGGGAGCAACACACCAGGCAGGTATATATTTACAAATGCTGGCTGTAATTATTTTTACTTAAAAAGGTACATTGCATCATTTTCTACTGCAAATATGGTGCTTTTGAGATGGAGTGTTTTAGGGTCAAGCAAGTGAATAACATAAAGTGATGCTGATATTTTGACAGCATTGCATATGAGACTGGATTCTGGATGCATCCTTCATTGCTCCCTGCCCTTTCCTAAAGCTCCCGGCTCCTGTCTTGTAAGTTTTCTGATGATCAGCTCCATCTCTCGCCTACACGCTCCAGGCAACCAGCTGCTAACCCTGTTAAGCTGCTGACTCATCTCTAGATCTGACAGTGTGACATGCAGGGAGAGGAGAGCTGATCTTTCAGTAACTGCTCAGTGGAGAACGTTGACTTTACTCTTGGGAGTAGAGCCACCCTGGCTTCCTCTCTTCTCCTACCATCCATACATGGAGCCTTTGTCTCCAAAACAGTGTGCAATGTGCTTGGAGCCATACCAGTTTTTATTTTTTTTAAATTGATGTTTGGTCCCTGGAGGATATGTGTGAGTTTGACATAAATTTCAGGAGACTTTTAGTAGCTGGCTTTAAATCTGTTGCTTTTCAAAGGTTTTTGCAAGTGCTGCTCTGAAATGTTCTGCAGCTGTTGCTAGATTACTAAATTGCAATTTAATGGTAATTTTCTTGATTATTTTGGGTTTTTACTTTGGTGTATTGCTTTTAATTATTTGTTTTTAGAGAAGAGGACGATCCCAGTCCCAATTGTCACAGCAGCCTCACTGCTGTAGTAGTAGCAGGAGTAGAAGCAGGATCAGACTAGATGCTAGAGAGTGCAGTATAAGAAGTGACAGCTCCTCAAATATAAAAAGCTGTGTGATCATAATGTTTTCTGATATCCAGTAGTTTGTAAATTATCTTGCTTTGTTTTATGATTGGCCATGAGGGGTTTATTACTGGCTTAGTTTACATACTCATTGCTCAAATACAATGCCAGGAGAAGATTGCATGGCCAAACCCTATGTCTTCTAATGACATGTTAATTATAGCATCTGATTTGATCCAGAGGGAGAAAAATGAAGGGGGGGGGGAGAAGAATCTATAGTTTTGTGATGGAGAGGATGAGCTATTACGCCATCTACCATCTGTGATGCATTCAGAGACTTTGGAGCAGAAGTCCAGGGACATTTCTTAGCAGAATGATGCATAGCCCCCTGAAAACACAGCAGCCAGTCATGCCACATTTTGGAATAAACAAACTGATGTACATTGCCATTACCATTGCTCCCCCACCTCATGTGATGACACCCTTAAGTCTAGAGTCCATCATTAGTGAACTGCGCCCAAGTATGCCACAGTCTCCTTATCTGAGTTTAGATAAATCTTTGAGGATGTCTCATTGTAACATGTAGAAAGGAATATTTTTATAAGTTGCATACAAAGAAAGGAAAATTTGCAGGACCTCTTGGGAAAACCTTTTCTTTCAGAGCCACCAGATGAGAGTTTTGAGAACATATACACATTTCTATGCTTATGTTAAGTATAACACAAAACTGACAAAATATGTGTGCTGATAATTTTTTTAGAAGATTAATCAACGGAGCTGATGTTGACACCATTCTCAATATTTTATTGGTTTTAATAATACCCAAATACATGTAGGTTTTTTAAAAACTATGTTGGAACAGTCAGCTGTTATAATGATTCACTCTGTCCTAGAAAATATTCCAAAATCTGGAACTAGAACTGGATAAGCGATAATTTGCATTTTTGGAACATTTATTGAGTGTTATGCTGCATTAACTAAAATTAACCCATTCTAATGCTCCTGATGCTGTATTTTAGGGGATAAAGTTGTCTTTTGCTGCTTCTGGCTTTGGGTTTTACTCGTTTTTGACCACAATGTTTTTGTTGAACTTAAATTTGCTAGTCATGATATGCCATGTTGCGCATTTGAGGTGAGGCAAGTTGACACAAGGCAAGGCAAGGCAAACAGACTTTAAATATGTTAAACACTCCTACCTGGGATGCTCATCCTCTACCACCGAGTGCACAGCATTGGGAGGAATGCACATGGAGCGGTGAGGGAGGAAGGGTACACCAATCTGGCCAGTCAGATCAGCTGACTCAACCCTAGCAATCAATGGAGTGACAGATGTCGCAGCCAGATCGCCCTCTTTGGCAGCAAAGAAAATATGAACCAAACATCAAAAGTCTTAAGAAAGAAGGGAAGCTATGTCATCTTGCATTTATTTATTGATATGTTGTTTCGGTGCAGTTTTGTGTTGCTGTTGATATATTGTGACAACCTATGGTTTTAAGCAATAAAACTTGTTCAGTTCAAATATGTTAATCTCGTCAGAACATTTCATATAGTTAAACCATGTGCATAGTGTAGTGAGAGTGCTGTAGTGGTTAGAGTCATGGGCTAGGGCTCATTAGATCTGGGTTCACATCTCTCGTTGACTGGAGAAACTCACTGAAGGGAGAGTGTCATTGATAAAACCACTGTTTCAGCATCTAAAACCCTGTCGGTGTTGCTATAAGTTGGGTGTGACTATTACTGTGGTTATATTTACAGTTTCAGTGTTGTGTTGGACATGGAACTAGGCACTGGGTGACTCACCTGCCAGCCAATGTACCTGCCATAACCTGCATGCTGGGAAAGGAAAGGAGTGTTGGAATATGGGAGGTCAGGTGGGCATTGGACACCAGGAGGGTCCCTTTTGCCACCTGGAAGTGATGCAGACATGATGTCTCCCAACCTAGGCATATGCCTATGGATCCCCATTTGGAAAGCAGACATGAGCCAATGCCAAAATGGATGCACTCAGTGCCTCACACATAAACTGTGAGAAGCAATCATGAGTATTATCTAGCACAATGTGAATAGCTTTGAAGGGGGTGAAAGCTCTGTAGCTAAGGCCAATCCATCTGCAGATAAATCCCTCTTTATCTCTGTCAACTGATGAAAGCCACAGCAATGTACAATATGAAAATAGGGAGGATGGTCTGAGAGATGTCTGGTTCTGCACTGGAAATGAGTACTGGAGCAGACAAATATAAGTAGGCTTAGGTAGACTGTAGGGGAAATTCATCCTCTGAAGTCTACTGCATAGGCTCCTCTCCACTGGTGCTTATGATCTTCCAGCATGGCTTCCATGCTCCTGCTGCTGGCATAGCTGTGTCATCAGTCAGGAGCACCCAGCGTAACCAAGGAAGGTGCTCACTAATTTTCTTTCTTCCTCTCTCCCACCCTTCCAGAATGCAAGGACACACCCCAGAGAATCAGGGAGCTGGTCTTGTGTGGACTGGTGGCCATCAAGTTCTGCTCTGATGTGGGCATTTAAATTCTGCTGAGCTCACACTTGAGGCAGTCCATTAACAGCCAATCACCTGGATGCATGGATCTCATTGTGGGTGAGATCAGGATTGGCTCAAAACAATTTACGCCTGAAACAGAGCAGCAGACAGAGACTGCTACTCATGGAAAAATGCATTGTACCCTAAGCCAGTCAAATTATTTTGGTACCTGAGGCAAAAATTTCCTGTGGTACTTCTCCCACTCCTTGCCAGTAAGAATACAGTAACAACAAATTACACAACGAACAATTTATTACTCTTTTGTAATACCCAAAATCTGCTACCTGTGACAGCCACTCTCACAAAAAATAGTAGGCCCAGGACTAGCTGAAATCTGTTAAGTACTGTTTTCCACATTACACCTGGCTGAGTTAATTTTTTACTGCATGTTAGCAATAAAATTTCTGAATCCACAGGAAAAGCTCAGATTTGGTGAAAAAGCAGAGGCTGTAGGCTCTAGAACTGCAGTTCAGAAATATGATTCTGTGTAAGACTAAGGCAATATGTGATACAAGAAACAAATGCAATGTTTTATTGAATCATTCTTTTCAGGAGCTAATTCCTAATCCTCAGTTCATTGTGGGAGGAGCCACTCGCACTGATATTCGTCAAGGGGCTCTGGGTGAGTAGAGGAACACCACATTTCTCCCCTTTTTAATGTCACACCTTTATGTCGAATAACTGCAACACCTTCCAAATCAAATTTCAAGAATGTTTCGGACAGTTTCCAGAATTTCCCCATGGTTTTGCTAGCTGCGGGATTCTGAGAGCTGTTCAAAAAAGTAACATTCCTAAACTCTGCTCCAAGCTACTGAGCACCAGAGAGGAAGTGTATAAAAATTATTGCCAGATGAGTTGGAAAAAATAAATAAATCAGAAGACTGATGTGGATCTCATATGTGACATAATGCCGGCTTGAACCTGTATCACCTAATATGAGCCTCCTTGGCTTTTAGCATTTTCTGGGGAGGCCCTTCTCTCAGTTTCACCACCTTCCCAGGCTCTTTTGTTTAGGACATGAGAGAGGGCCTTCTCAGCTTTTGCCTCCAGACTTTGTTCCCCTCCCTCTTGGTCCTTCTGTTGCCAGGCAAGCTTTCCTTCTCAGACAAATGTTTAAGCAATAAGTTCTATTTGGCATATGCCTGCATAGATTATAAAAATAATAATCGTTATGAAATTTATGTATTTTTAAATGTTTTCAAATATGTTTTTAAAATTGTTTTCAATCTTTATGAATGTTTACTTCTTTTTAAATATAGTCGTGCGTGGTATTTTAAACTTACGGTTGTACACTTTAATTGTTGTGAGTCATCTTGGGTCCCCTGTGGGGAAAAGGTGGCATATAAACTACCAACCAAACAACCAACTTAGACCTTATGGCTTGTTTTGCTTGTGTTCCACTGCCTCGCCTTTGAACCAAAGGCACTCTTCATCCTCATATTCACCATCTGAAACGTTATCTTCAGAGCTTGCATACTTTGAAGGGATAAGAGACAACCTGTATCTAAGATTTCCCTTCATTAAATGTTATTTTTTGTCAATAGCAAATGAGAGATGAAATCAATTTGGCAACTCTCAAAAGAACTTGAAAGACTCAGAATATTTCACATATACTGCATACTAGGAATTGCCTGCTTTTAGACAAGCACTCACCAAAAGACTGTTGCTCTATTTCAAGTCAAAGGCCCCAACATGTACAAAACTATGATTTAAAACAAAAACAGGAGAAAATCTTGTGGCACTTTAAAGACAAAGAAGTTCTATTCGGCATATGCTTGCATAGATTATAAAAATAATATTAATGTGCAATTAAGTCAATTCTAATATGTGGTAACTAGACAGGGGCATGAACTGTTGGTTGGTCCTTCCTGCCAATTTCTCCTTCAGTCAAAGAGGTGTTCACTGCCTCCCAGCCCTGCCTCCTCAGGCAGGCAGCACTCTGGCTTCCTTGCTCTGCCTCCTCTGGGCTCTGAGCACACAGGGGTAGGCAGGGCTGGGACGTACCGAACACTTGTTTGTCCAAGGATGAACTGGCATGATCTGCCAAACCGGTGATTTGTGCCCATCTCTAATGGTGACCCTTTTCAGGGTTTCTCAGGTACAAAATGCTCAGATGTGGTTCACCACTCTTCTTTTGGAGTATTTTCTGGGACTATGCAGCTTGCTCAAAGCTACAGAAGCTAGCTCTACTTCCAGGAGGTGCAGTGCAGAACTGAGCTCCCAGCCTCTGGCTCCACAGCTAGATACCTAAGCCACTGAGCTATCCAGCTAGCTTTTAGCCTCTGAATAATATATATTGTGTGCTCCCAAGTCAATTCTTTTCTTTTCAAGGTTTTTTAAAAGTAAAGTGTACTAAGAAGTGGTTTACTATTTCCTTCTTCTGGGGGTGCCCTGGGACTGTGCAGCTTGCCTAAGGCCAGATAGGCTGGCTCTTCTCCTGGAAGGCAGTCTGGAATTAAACTTCCAACCTCTGGCTCCACAGCCAGATACCTAACTCATTCAGAGTTGGCTTCATTGGGATACCCCTGTTATTCCTGAATCACTAGATGGCCTTTAGGGCTGGCATTTTTCTGACTGTTAATATTGCCAAATTATCTCTGCATTATATATAGGCTGCTGCAAATTAGCAGGATAAAGACACAATTTTAGGAGGAGTGTTGATGGATTATGTGTGATCTTTCTACCTACCTTTTTACTGAACCTGCGTGATTGCTATACAGTAAAAGGATCACATAGTCTCAGGAGACCTGTCAATATGTGATGGATGATGTGTGATCTTTCTACCTACCTTTTTCCTGAACCTGCGTGATTGCTATAACAGGAACACATAGTCTCAGGAGACCTGTCAATATGCAAGGTTCTCAAGATGTTGAGAATTTTGATTATAACGTGTATTCTCATAACATCAGCAAAGGAGATACTGTATTGGTTAGCAGAGATACTTATGACACTATGACATTGAGAGAGTAAAACCAACAACTTAGTCTATTTACATATATACATAGGCATTCCTCTGGCAGCATAACATGACATGAAGCAACACACAGCGTAGGAAAAAGTGATCTGACTTACAGCAGATAAAGACGTTCATTTTACATATGACTTATGTACAGTTCTGTGACCAATCAGAAAATACATTACTTCATTTTCTGTTACACAAAGTTTCATCATGTACCACAGCTGTACAAGTCTTAATCGTTGATACCACACCTAAATACAATCTATACATGACTCCGGTAAAATCAGCCATTTTACATTTAACTATACAATATTAACATTTAATAGATTTTCATATCAAAATCTCAACAGTTCTGAAACAATCTATGCTGCTCACAGATGGTCAGAATCTATTTTTTAAAAAGCTGGCATCACATGTGTGTGTGTGATGAGTAGACAATCTTGGGTTGTATTATTTGACTTAATACCAGGCAGCTTAATATCTTTATATGCTACCACCTCCAGCTGTTTCATGAAATCTCATGTTCCCAGGTGACTGCTGGCTTTTGGCAGCTATTGCATCCCTCACACTGGATCAAGAAATTTTAGAGCGAGTTGTTCCCCCAAACCAGAGCTTCCAGAAGGACTATGCTGGCATTTTTCACTTCCAGGTATCTCTTCTTATCCATGTTGCACATGATTGTCTTCTTACACTTATTACATTGAGTAAAAGGAGAAAGGATAGTCTAAAGGATAGTGTAGTGCCATGTAAAACATAGAATTCTGGATTCCATCTGGAACCGTCCGGATGTTTTGGAGAGTGTAGAGAGAAATCACTCTCTTTTTTTTTGGGGGGGGAGTACAATTTTACAAATTGAGGGATTCCGGAATTGTGGTCCAAAAAGTGTCTTTTCTAAATTTTGATTCTCTGACCATTGGCCGTGTTGGTTGGGGTTGATGGGAGCTGTCACCCAATACATCTGGAAGGTATTGTGTTGTGGAAAGCTGGTGTAGAAAACCCATTGCATATGAAACCAGAGTGGTTATAACGACCAGATGGGTGGGATATAAATAAATAAACAAACAAACAAACAAACAAACTTTTGCACAGAGAAGGGAGAAGAATATTGCCTCTTTGACATCAGCTAGGGATGGAGGCAAAATCTGTTTGGTACATGTTTTAATATGAATCAGTCACATACGCTCTTTCTGAAAGAAAATATACAAATCAGAGCATAATTATCCATTGTATTTCACATTTCTCCAACTTTTACAATGTGTGTATTAGGGAAAATAACATTGAGAATGTGTATAAACATTCTAAGATTAAATCTAAAAATGTGAAATGAATTTAAAAAACCCAGATGAAGCAAATATGCTTGAAAAATGTGTTTGTTAAAACAAAGGGGAACACCTAAATCTTTTCCTTTCCTTCTTAAGTAGTATAATCTTAGGTCATGTCAGAAGAAACCACTGCCTTTTCTTTTCCCTAATCACAGTCAAGTATGTGACCTCACACTGCAAACTTTGTAGTTATTTGCACAGAAAGGTGGATCAGTCTGAAAGCAGTTAGTTCCTTCCTGTGATTTTATGCCAGCTTGTTTTTTCCTGGAGTGCTTTTGAAATTCAGATTTCAACACATGGGCCTTACCCCTGACTTTTTTTTCTTTTGTGGACAGATCTGGCAGTATGGACAGTGGGTAGATGTCGTTGTTGATGATCGGCTTCCCACGAAAAACGGACAGCTCCTCTTTCTGCACTCAGAAGAAGGCAATGAGTTCTGGAGTGCCCTACTTGAGAAGGCCTATGCCAAGTAAGCCACAGCTAGTTCTGAGACAGAGGCTGCTAAAACCTTTTGGCATTTGGCTGATCAGTTCTATCCTGTCTTGTACATATTGCCTAACAGTGCTAATGAATTTGCACCACAAATGGGCCCTGATAAACAGTGGGGGTTAGGTTTTAGACCCTAGGCTAGAGCAAATGCATAGGATCCATGGAATTTAAGGGTTGGCTTAACAAGTCATTTTCATATGGTGATTATACAGTGGACCCTCGACTTAAGGAATTAAGTATGGTGAGTCTACAGTGGACCCTTGACTTAAGGAATTAATCTGTATTGGAACGGTGGCTGCAGGTTGAAAAGTCTGTAGATCAAGGGTCCATTTCCCATAGGAATGCATTGAAAACCCTGTACAGTGGTGCCTCGCATTACGACGTTAATTCGTTCCAGCGAAATCGCTGTAGAACGAAAATGTCGTAATGCGAAAAGAAAAAACCCATTGAAATGCATTAAAACCTGTTTAATGTGTCCATAGGGCGGCCATTTTCACCACCCAGTGAAGATCCTCCATTGGGTGGCCATTAAAATCCAAAGAACTGTAAACTCACCATCCAGTGAAGATCCTCCATAGGGCGGCCATTTTCACTGCCTGTGCAGCGAGGAATCCATCCCAGAAAACAGCGGGGGCCCATTTTGTTTACCCGGCGGCCATTTTGAAACTGCTGATCAGCTGTTGGAAAATCGTCGTTTTGCAAAGAATCGGTTCCCAAAGCAGGGATCCGATCATTGCAAAGCGAAAGTCCCTCATAGGAAACATCGTTTTGCTATCACAAAAGCAACCGCAAAAAGTTCATCGTAATGCAGTTTTGTCGTTAAACGGGGCAATCGTAAAGCGAGGCACCACTGTAATCTGTAACTGGCCTAAGAAAAAAATACCCCACACACAAAAAATGAAAATAAATAGAACTTACCTGCCCTTACCTGTCCGAAGCCCTCCAGGGGTCCCCCCCCGGCCGCCATCGCCACTGCCCAAGGCCTCTGAGGACTTCCCCACAGCTCCCAGAGGCCTCTTGGAGGTCCCCTGCCCCCACCGATGCAGGCTTTCCCAGGGTGGACCAGGCCTACCAGGGCAGGGCTTCCCCCGGTAGGCCCAGTCTACTCCCTGGGAAACTAATGGAAGGGGACCTCTGGGTGCCTTCCAGGGCTTCCCTGCTTCCATGGGAGGCATCTCGGAGGTCTCCCCCCACTGCCGATAGTGCCTCCGAAGCACAATTGGCAGCGGGGGGAACTCCGAGAGCCTCCCATGGTGGCAGAGAAGCCCTGGAAGGCACCCGGAAGCACGATTGGTGGCCTACGGACTGGAAGGGGGAGGTGGTGAAAGTGCCAAATTTCAATTTGGTGCTTTCCCCACCTCCCCCTTCTAGTCCGTAGGTCAATTCTCCGGCCGCAAGTTGAAGGGATACTTTGCAGCCAGAGACGTCCGTAGGTCGAAAAGTTCGTAAGTGGAGCCCTGCATAAGTCGAGGGTCCACTGTACTGTAGTTGGGACTAACAATTCCATTGAGCCCTTTATTTCCAGTGGTTTATGGCTAGTAATTTAATTAGTAATGGTGTGCCATCAGGTCAGTGTGTGCCAACCCTCCCAGGAATTTGTAGGTAAAAAGTATTGAAAAATGATTCACCACATCCCAGCTGATCTCAGCTGATCCCTCTTTTGGGAGGCAAAATTGGGATTCAAACTCACTATCCCTGGCTACATGACCTGGCAGCTCAATTCCAGAGATATAACATTCTCTGTGTGTACAAATTCATCTCTCTCTCTCCCCCACCCTTCCCATCTCTTTCTCTTTTTTTAAAAAAAACAGCCCCAACTAGATAATTTTACTAATTTTACTAAATAGACCCAAAAGACCAAATTCTGACACTGGTCCTAACCAGAACTTGGTAGTATTAAACTTCTGAGCTGTAACTCCCAGAATCATTCAGCCAGCATGCTGAATGAATGATAATGATGATGACTTACTAAGCCAATTCTTACATAAATTCTGTGGATTCAGTGGGTTTGTTTAGGAGCTGAAACCTGAATTTGAACCCCAAATAACATTTCCAGATTCTGCTCCTAACCTGATTAAAGTTCTGTAGTGATTATATGCCCTTTAATCTTTGTTCTGCTTTCCTTGCCATTCCTTGATTTTAGGTTGAATGGTTCCTATGAAGCTCTCACAGGAGGATCTCCTTTGGAAGGTTTTGAAGATTTTACTGGTGGCATTTGTGAATCTTATGACCTCAGGAAAGCTCCACCCAACCTGTATCAAATCATTGAAAAGGGCCTGCAAAGTGGTTCCTTGTTTGGTTGCTCCATTGATGTGAGGTTCTTATTTATTTTCTTCTTCGCTCTCTGCAGTTTGGCTTGCCTTATAGTGAAACATAGATCAGGAGTGGAAAGTAATGGGACTCTTTCCATGAATCTGAACTTTGGCTCAGGTGAAGCAGGAAGGAGCTTGAAGTTCCACAGCTTTGGAAATTAGTTTGCTAGTTTGATAAAGACTGCTGCCACACTCGCCAGTAAGTCTGGCATTGCCGTTCTTTGCTTACCTGCTTTTTACAGAGGGCCAGTGCTTTCAGATGAAGGGCTCCTGACAGTACAACCCCCCTCAGGTGTTATGGGCTTGCCTCCTCAACAGGTACTTCCTAATAAAAAGAAAGATGGAAGAAGAACTTAGCATATTATTTTGAAAAGCAAGCATGTTATCATTACAGGTGTTACTCATTATGCTTTATTTTAAGATGATCCTTTATTTTAAGAGCAATACATTACTATTTTTAAAATTACATTTAATGTTCAACAGCATTCAGAAAGAGCTTGACAGAACAGAAAATTGGAATGACACTAAGAAAATTAAACGCAACAGAGTCTGTGAGATTATTAGTCTCTGTGGCAATCCCACTGTAGACAACCACTTAAGGAATTACCAGCACCAACTGGCAATTTTATAGCAATAGCCACCTGTGGCAATGCTATCTAGAAACTGCAACTTTAAAAATTTCCTTGGTCTTTACAGAGGCAACTGCAAATAACTTTTCACATTCTTCTCAGGGTAGTTGCTGCCATCAGGACCTTTATGAAGTCTACTTCCCATTGTTCTTTATGCCTTTACTTCTCTTTTTTTTCTGTTGGCGCTGGTGACTAAGCAATAGGCATGGTTTTATACTCCCAGCCACTTAGCCACACCACATCTGAACCTGTTTCTATACTGATATTGTTATCAGTATCAATGTGGTAAGATATATGTGTGTGTCTATTCTCTCTTTCTCTCTCTCTCTCTCTCTCTCTCTCTGTGTGTGTGTGTGTGTGTGTGTGTGTCTTTAACTTCTTATCACCCCCTTTTGACAATCCAGAGTCCTATCAGGGTCACCCAAGGCAGAATGGTCAAACCTGAGAAATCAGTAGGATTCATCCGACTTCTTTAGGAATTAATGGTTTCATCAGCAGAAGAGAAATCACAGTGCTAGTGGGGATGGGATAGTGAAAGTCCTGAGGGATAGCCGGAGAGCAGCAACAGCAGTGGAAGATGACACAGGTGAGGGATTGTTTGTGAACGGTAGCCGTGGCACTTTAGCTAACTCTTGTTAGTACAGCACAGAATAAGAAAATGGTAAACCACTTCTGAATTTCTCGTGCCACAAAAACTCTATGAAAAAATAAATCCACACTTTATTTTAAACAAACAAAGCAAGGAATAGTGACGGGAGATGAGCCTCCCAGGTCAGAAAGCAGGCAAGCAGACACTGGGGAAGAGCAACTGTTATGCATGACTAGTACTGTTGTCTGTGAAGCAACTGGATTAAAATGGAAAAGACATTTAGCACACAGGTTAGAGTCTGATACTTTTTTCTTTTTAAAAGAACCCTAGTGCCTGCATCCAAAAGTGTCTGTAGTGGTGATTTAGTACTGTTGTGCTTCCCTGTTCCACAATATATATATATTTAAAGGGAGGTGGGAGGAAGTGAAGGTGCCAGAACAATGCCAGGGAGCTGGGGTTAGTGCAAAGTTTGCGGCCTGTCTCTGTAGCTGCTAAGAGGGATTTTGGGGACACCCACTGATGCCCCTTTGTCTCAGCACACAGAGCTACATGGAGGCTGCACATCAAACCACTCTCTTGTTTTCAGGGGAGAACAAGAGGGGGCTGATTTTTAATGCCTCAGGAGCTGCAGAGGTAAAAAAGTAAAGGTAAAGGTTCCCCTTGACAATTTGTCCAGTCATGTCACTCTAGAACGCGTTGCTCATCTCCGTTTCCAACCCATAGAGCTAGCGTTTGTCCGCAGATAACCCTCCATGGTCATGTGGCCGGTGTGACTAGTCACGGAACATCGTTTACCTTCCCACAGAGGTGGTATCTATTTATCTACTCGCATTTTTGCATTTTGCGTGCTTTTGAACTGCTAGGTTGGTGGGAGCTGGGAAAAGCGACGGGGGCTCACTCCATTGCGTGGATTCAGTCTTATGACTGCAGGTCTTATGACCTTGCAGCACAGAGGCTTCAGCGGTTCAACCCGCAGCCCACCATGTCCCTCATAAAAGATACAACACCCAACATTCCCAGGTGGTCTCCCATCCAAGTACTAAACCACCCTACCCTGCTTAGCTTCCAAGAACAGACGAGATTGGGCGTGCCACAAACTCTTATTATCAAGCAGCAAGGAAGTGGGCAGGGTTACAAATGCCCAGACTAGAAGTGCCCTCAGTAACATAGGAACAGAAACTGCTTCTGATAAGAGCAGTTCAACAATGAAGTCGCCTTTCCAGGAGGTTGATTGTCTCTCCCACTCTGGAGTTCTTCAAGCAGAGTTTGGACCACCAATTGTTGTTGATGCTCAAGAACATGATTTCCTTGTATCCTAGGAATCTCCAACCACCTGTATGGTTCCATGATTTTCATGTTAAACAGTGTCCATTTTGTTGCCCTAGATTACCAGTGCAGCTGAAACAGAAGCAATTACACGTCTTAAATTGGTCAAAGGTCATGCTTACTCTATTACTGCAGCTGAAGAGGTAAACTAATCTTTCTTTTGTTTTAGTTTCTACTAATCTGCAATAAAACTAATACTCAGAGGCATTTTATTTTGGTAAATTGCCCTTTAGTCTGTTCCTTCCTTTCCATGTTCATATCGAGGCTTAAGGTTTTAAATTACAGTTTTAGAAACAGAGAATATGAATGAACCTATAAAAATATCAGTATAAATCAGAAGAAGGAAAATTAGCAGCATTTTAGTAAAGCATGGGGACATTATATTTTCAGAGTATAACTGTTAGATTTCTTCAGCCAATGTCTCCGGCTGTGAGATATTAGCTTTTGTAATTTAAAAACGTAACAAGATCTGTCTATAGGGCTGATAGTTCCATCCGTAAGAACAGTTGAGCAGGAAAACATTGTTTCCAAGGGTCTGTGTGGAATTACTGGAGGTTTTTGTTTTGTTTTTTGTCCAGAAGACTCATATCTGGCAAAAACATGCTGTTGTGGGGGCTGTACTAAATATTTCATGAAATCTTTTCCAGTGCCAATGGATTCTATTATATCACACAAGATGTGATACAGCCTGGCAAATTGTACATATAGTTTTGATTCTTAATGACGAGCAGTCAGGGTGATGCACCATGATGGTAAACAATGAGTGAAATAATGAAACCTGTAATTCTACCTGTGGTGTTTTGTACAGGTTAACTACCGTGGCCGGCCAGAGAAACTGCTCAGGATAAGAAATCCATGGGGTGAAGTGGAATGGACTGGAGCCTGGAGCGACAAGTACATTGTTGTGTTCTATCTTTTTTTCCTGAGTCACCCACATTTTTTTCATCTTTGCATAGTACCATCTGAAATGATATTCATTCATCTATATATTAAAATTTATATTTCGCGCTTCCTCTGAGGAGCTCAGGGCATTATCTCATGCTAGCCATCTATCATTAAGTTGGTTAGACTGAGGGATAGTATTTAACAAGAATGTGCATAGTGAAAATTGTCATATTTGGGTTCTTTCATGAGTGCCTTTTTCATTTTCTGTGTGTTTTATTGTACTAGTTCTTTCATTTAACATGAAATGGAAGGCCTCTTTTTGGTTCATTCATTTTGGATTTGTTTCTTTACACACACAAACACACACACCCAAAAGCCCCGCAGAATCCTTTAAAAGTGCTCCAAAAGAGGAGGAGGGCAAGGCAATAGAGAATCAATCTACTCCAAAATAAGGCACACTTTATAAAGAAAGAATGCCTTTGTCAGTGTCCCACCACCATGTCTATCACTACTAGTGGTCACAAAGGTGCTTCTCCAAACAAGATAACCTGCCACCACCAGTCTTGTGCACAGAATTAAAAACAATTCACCTACCAAGTAATTTAAAAAGGTAAAAAACAAAAACAAAAAACCCTAACCCAGAATTAATTAAGTGCCTCCCAGCTAGCACAACAGAAAAAAAAGGCAATGGCTGGCTACTGGCACACAGCAAAGCAAACAACAACACAAAACAGTCCCCCACACCTACAAAGATATACACTTTTAACAGAATAAATAAACAATAAACTAACCATATACCATTTTTTAAAAATAAGACAGTGAAAGCACCCACATAGGGTAAAAAACAAAAACAAAATAAAAATACCCAAAAATAACCCCCTCTCCCAAAAGCCAAGGGAAGGAAACAAGGAAGTAAAGGCAAACAAATCAAAGTCCCTAACCAAACCAAAGCCACTGAAATATGGGGAGACTACTCTCCCACCTACCACTTCATGCCTTCTTCTTTCTTCTTTTAAGAAGAAAGAAACAGGGGTGTATGTGTGCTCACCATGTATTTAAAAAGTCAAAGAGAGAGAGAGAGAGAAAGGTCCAAGATGGAGTCACAGAAGTAGGCACACAGACAAACAGGCAGCATAATTCAAGATTGAGGGCATCAACACACTGTAATCCCATCCACAAGAACAACTGAAGCAAATGAATACTCCTAAATGGGTTCCAAACAATTCAGACTGTTTGTACAGATTCAAAATTCCTGCTTCTCCTTCCTGGACCTTCTGTTTGGGTGCTGCAAGCTGCTTGATGAATAATGTCTTGGGTAATTTGACAGACAAAGGGTGAAGTAAAGGTTACACAAAAGAAAGAAATATGAAAGAACATGAAATATATACTTAGCTCTCTTTTATTGATATGAATAATTTATGTTTTAGAGCAATTGTTCCCAACATTGGATCTCCAGAAGTTCTTGGACTAAAACTCCCAGAAGCCTTTACCACTTGCTTCCTGCTAGCCAGGATTTCTGGGAGATCCAAGAACATCTGTGGAACCAGATGGTTGGGAAGCACAGTTTTAGAGGATATCTTTTAGGAATCAACAAAAGAAAACAAAAATGAGAAAAATAACTTCCTTTGTTTCCCCTCCTTTCATAAAGAAACAAAAGGCCCATCCCTAGTGACTAATTGAAGGTTGCACAGTTAGCTCAGTAGGGATTTTAACTGACACCTTTCTATTTTAAATTCCTCAGTGAATCCACTCTCTGCCTTTTTATAATATCTCACTGTTGAGACACCCAAGTTTCACAGTCAGATGTAACTTAGACATATCAGTGGAGGTGAGATGTTCATGCAACTTTGTTGAACATTAACTGGAAATGAACAATAAGAATATGCATTAGTCTTTTTTTTATTTATTTATAGCATACAGTAATATAATATTAATAAGAGCAACAGTAAAATTCAGAAAAGCCATCAGATATGGCACAACCCCATAAAATATAACTTTAAAAAAAACCACAGTAAAATTACAAGGATAATAGGTGGCTGCCAGACAGAGGTTCACAAATTCAAAATACATTTAATAAAAAACCAAAATTAATCTGGGGCAAGGCTACAAAAGACTTGCGAGAACAGGCAGATTTTGTCTCCTAAAACCAGGGAGAGATGAGGCCAATCACACCTCTAATGGCAGGGAATTCCAAAGTGATGCAACCACTACAGAGAAGGCCAAGTTGTGAGTGGCAGATCTCTGGGCCTCCCTTGGGGTGGACACTGATAGCATCTCAGTAGAAGAAGTGTGGGTGGNCCCCCACCCAGCTAGTGGTGAAGTCACTATTCTGGATGGCTAAAAAAATCAAGATCAATATAGCATACAGTAATATAATATTAATAAGAGCAACAGTAAAATTCAGAAAAGCCATCAAATATGACACAATCCCTAAAAATATAACTTAAAAAAAAGCAGCAAAATTTCAAGGACAATAGGTGGCTGCCAGACAGAGGTTCACAAATTCAAAATACATTTAATAAAAAACCAAAATTAATCTGGGGCAAGGCTACAAAAGACTTGCGAGAACAGGCAGATTTTGTCTCTTAAAACCAGGGAGAGATGAGGCCAATTACACCTCTAATGGCAGGGAATTCTACAGAGAAGGCCAAGTTGTGAGTGGTAGATCTCTGGGCCTCCCTTGGGGTGGACATTGGTAGCATCTCAGTAGAAGAAGTGTGGGTGGGACAGATAGACATTTTGAGGGAAGGTGCTCAGCCAGATAGCAAGGCTCTAAACTGTTCAAGGCTTTAAATGTCAACATAAATATCTTGAACGTGGCCTAGAAGCATACAGGCAGGCAATATAGATGGGCCCAGACAGGTGATATATTATTATACAATCTTTCTGTGGTCACGTGGCCAGTGTGATTTAGACATGGAACGCTGTTTACCTTCCCACCGAGATGGTACCTATTTATCTACTCACATTTGCATGCTTTCGAACCGCTAGGTTGGCGGGAGCTGGGACAAGCAACGGGCGCTCACTCCGTCGCGTGGATTCGATCTTACGACTGCTTGGTCTTCTGACCCTGCAGCACAGGCTTCTGCGGTTTAGCCCACAGTGCCACCACGTCCCTTAGCAGGGCCCTAAACTGTTCAAGGCCTTAAATGTCAACATAAATATCTTGAACTTGGCCTAGAAGCATACAGGTAGGCAGTATAGATGGGCCCAGACAGGTGATATATTATCATATATAATATGTGCCAAAGACTAACCTTGCAGCTGCATTCTGCACCTGGTGCAGCTTCTGAACCATTGTCAAGGGAAGCCTCAGACAGAGAGTGTTTCAATAGGCTATTTTCAAGATTACAAGTGCACAGACCAGTGATGTTAAGGAATTCCTTCCAAGATAGGGGTGAAGGTGTGTAATCTGCCTCAGATGGAAAAAGGCAGACCCGTCCATGGCTGAGATCAGGGTCTCCAATGAAAGGACTGGGTCAAGGAGCATACCAAAATTTTGCACCTGATCCTTCACAGGGAGTGTGACCCTGTCTAGATCAGGCAAGCAGCTACCTGGTTGGTCAAGGGTCCCACCCAACAACAGGATCTTCATCTTATCAGGATTCAAGTTCAGTCTGTTAGCCCTCATCCAGTCATTGATCATGGCCAGGCAACACTCCATGAACAGCTTCTACTGCTGAAGAGGTAGAATTGCATGTAATCAGCATACTGTTGGCCGTTAACTCCAAATCTCCAGATGATCTCTCCCAGTGGCTTCATATAGATTATATATAGTCTCTCTCTGTCTTTGCTCTCATTGTTCCTTAAGACACAAGAAATTCTTATAAAGTTACACCAGCAGTTAATAAATCACATGGCGACTGATAGCGGGGAAAAGTATTATTAGTAGGCAGATTTATTAACTTACACTGGGCACAAATTTCTTTTTCCATAATGGGAAAGGAGAAAAATTGGGTTTCGGGAGAGAGGCAGAAGAGAAAATAAGTCTTTCTTACTGGATTATTTTTAATGCAAAATAAATATTTTACCAAACCCGACACATTGGTAAAATTTTCTTGACATTAAGGAATTATATATTGAAAATGTAATAAGTAGCCTTTGAGATGGAAGACTGATAATTACAAGGCTGTGGGAAAAAGTCTTCTCAAGGTGTGGCACCCTAACTGTGGAATGCCTTCCCTTTGGAGGCCTGACTGACATCAAAGCTGGCCTCATTAAAATTTGGCTGTTCAGCTAGGGTTCAGGATTCACAGCTTTCATTTATTTTCTCTTGTGTTTTTATCTTTATTATGTTGAATTGCCTTAATATTTTAAATTGCTAGTAAGCTTTTCTACTGATTGTTCTTTGCCTGGCATCTTTGACTACAAAGTGAGACAAATATATTTAAATAAAGAAGTAAATAAAGTGCCATGCAAAAAGTAGTGTGAGTTCAAGGTATTCCAGGTCTTTTTGGGGTTTTTTTGGTGGCAGTATCATCTTGCAGAGCCAATTGTTCCTCTTGGCACTGGTATTGTATTAGTACTAGAAAACTCTGTCGGAAATTCTATTAGAATAACTTTATACCATGCAACTAGGATGATGTCATCAGTCCAATACAGTAATACTTAATTAAACTGAAAACTTCCTATTCCCCTCCTTTCAGGTTCTAAAGCTCCCTAGGGCTCCTTGTCAACCATGGGAAGCTTTTGAGAACCTGCCAACTGGGATCTGCTGCAGACCTAGTGGTGATTTTTCCCTATTGAAGACTCCTTCCACCATCTCAAGGTGTTCCCAAGTCAAAAGAGAGCCCTAGAGAGCTTTGGAATCTGAAGGTAGATTGGAAGTTTTCAAGTAAAGTAAAATGAATACTGTCGTCATGGACTAATGACATAATTCTACTTGCATGGTAGAAAGTTACACCAACAGGATTTCAGTCCACATATGTAACTTGCTGCTAAGCTGTAATACAGCAGTAATTGAAATTCTAATCTAAAAAGGAAGACACCACTTCACAATGAATTAAAGCTGATTTCCTCCAGAACAGTGTCTTGATTATTGAGGACATGGTGCAAAGGAAACCCTTTAAAATCATGGAGGTACACTACAGTATAATTTCATCTAGGTTTTTACCAAAGTTCCAACATCACTAAACTTTTCATGAGTGCAACTGACTTTGTCAATTAAGTGTATTTTAAAGTGATTTTCTTTTTTTAACATGTATGTTAAATTGCACCCCTTTCCCCCCACCCCTTTCCCACCAATTGCTAGTAGGGCAGATATATACCCTCCCTTCACCTGTTTTATTTTTAAACCTAAACTTGCCTCCTTTGCAGGTGCTTTAAAAAAAGTAGCATATGGTTTACTCCAAAAGACACTGGCTAAAATCCTGTGCTAAGAAAATTCATAACTTTCAGTCCATTCAAGGTACAGCTGTCTTTGCTGGCTTGGAACAGACTGAATTTTCTTAATTTTCTTATGCCAAGCAACAGGATTTCAGCCCATATGTACATTTCATAGTTTGCATGGGTATCTATGTTTGTGGTTTTAAACAGAACAATGTCTTCCCACTTGATCCTCTGTGACATTGGATTACATTTAATGTATGTTGGAATGCATAAAAGCTAATTCCTCTTCGAAGAGTTTACTGCTATGCACCCACCCCTAATTTATGTTTTGTCCTATAATGGTTAAGAGAAGCTACTCTTATTATATCCCTGCAGTGCTCCTGAATGGAATTATATTGACCCCAAGCAAAAGAGTGCTCTCGATAAGCAAGCCGACGATGGAGAATTTTGGTGAGAATCTTGCCGTCTATAGGAAAATGCTGACAAATGTGCTTTTCATAGCCAATTAGTGGTCCAGTCAGGGGCACAGCACACCCCAAAAAGTTTTTTTTGGGGGGGAAGGGGAGTTGAACCCACTGCTTGGATCATAGGCTGCACTGGTGCTTTTCACATTGCAAGCCTGCACATGTGTGCCACTGAACATAAGGGATCATTGGATGTGGTTTTATATGCATCATGTGCTTTTGTACCTTTCCAGGGCCAGCTCAAGACATTTTGTTGGCTAAGGCAAAGGCCAGGATGGTGTCATCCTTCATCTCATATACAGTACCTATGTCAACTGGGCTGATACAAACACATGGTCCTTCACTACCCCTGAGGGCAGCAGACAAATTTAGGGTTGCAGGCCAGGCTGTGTGAAACACATAGCTCTGCCTTCCGAGAGAGGAAAATGGCAGGGAGGCTCAGGAGGAATAGCTGGAGATGGAGAGGGGGGCTGCCTGTAGTATCTGCTATCTTTGTCTTACTCTGCCTAATGGTAAGAGTATCCATGTATCGATCATTTTAAAACTGCTATCAAGAGGTCTGATTCTTGCATAAAGAGAGGCAGATTTAACCTTTTCCTTCCCCACTCAGTCCTGATGATGTCACAAACACCCTCACCAGTGGCTGCTATTAGCTCAAAGAGGAAAACTCCCCTTGGCGTTAGAAGCCAGGGGCTAATACTAGACATGTGAATGGGCATTTTCATTAGCATTCTACTGGCGGAAGAAAAGATTCACTACCACCACCATTGCCCAGTATGTCACAGACTTGAGGAACATCAAAGCTCCCTCCTCCACCTCTGGACCACGAGTCTTAAAAAATGAAAGAGATGAAAACAAATGATGTATTTAGCATCATGTCTAGTTTTGTCTGATGTCTCCTTGCATGCTTTGATACCAAAGACAATTCCAAGTCTAAGCATTATGTTTTTGTTGATAAGCAGCTATTCCTTTGTGGTGGCAGTGTTCAGTGTTGTAGGTCAGAAGTTATGCAGCTTGGCTTGAAATCCAAACATTAAAATGCATATCTAGGTTAATTTACCCATGATAAAAATTGTGGAGGGTTAGAATGACAATAATCTGATAGAAAGTGTTCCAGTGTTCCTTATCTCTTGAATGTAGTGACATGGTGGTTGAAAAAAACACTCATTCTTCATGTGTCCAGAGGCTGCGAATAACTACTCTTTTCTAACAATAACCAGCTTGAGATGCTTGTGTGGCCTTGACTGCCAAGCTCTTGTTAACAGAGCCAGTTGCGGTGATATGGTCATGTGATCTGCTCTTCCCCAGCATCTCTCCCTCAACAAACTGTGGAGAAGAATGAAGCTGTTTAATAATTTCTTGCTCCAAGATTCCCCTGAAATAGGCCATGTTGGATATATCCCAGAATCTATTCCAGTGTAAATAATAAATTGTATGGGGAATGGACTCAAGAATGCTGGTCACTGAAATTTTTGGTCTTAAACTGATATGAGAATTCCTAGAGGTTTTTATGCTTTGTAGTGCCAAGTAATTCTAGTGATCCACTGCCTCAGGAGCAAAATAGATCAATGGCAAAGGGAATATGGCTGCATTCCAGATTCAATAAGCACTCTTGTGTGTTCTTACGGTGGCAGGATGTCCTTCTCTGATTTTCAAAAGCAGTTTACAAGACTTGACATCTGCAACTTGACTCCTGACACCCTGACAAGTGATCACCTTCACAAATGGAGCATGACTTTGTTCAACGGAAACTGGCGACGGGGCTCTACAGCTGGTGGTTGCCAAAATTATCCAGGTAATGTATCCAGGAAGAAAGCAAACCACTAACCTTCATTGTTTCTGACAGGAACAGTTTTGCATTAGAGGATGGCACAAAGATGGTTTCCGTGCTTACGGTCAGGGCCTGCCAATATCACATTTTCAAATTTGATATATACCTTGCCTTTCCTGTTTTTCTTCCAATACTGGGACTCTTTCCAGTGCACAAGAGGATTAACTGAAAAGCTGCAGGTAAAAATGCAATACGTAGTAATATTAATACAATATGAAATGAATTAAAATATTCAATGGCTGAAATCCTATTGCAGGATTGGTGCAGTGTAAAATTATGCCTGTGGAAGTCTTCAGGGAGCTCTGCCAAGCAGTCCACACTGCATGTCTGATTGGGCAACTGATTGTGCTACTAACTGCACAACTATGTCTGTGGAACTGCTTGCTAGTTATGACTTCTACCTTGCTGCGAATTTCACAATTGCTTGCAGAACTTCTGAGTCACACAGGTGCAGCTACCCAACAGGATTTTTAACAGGTGCAGCTACCCAACAAGATTTTAAACATGATGGTAAAAGAGGAAATATATGAATTGAAATGTACAATGCCCACCTGTTAGAAAGCTTTTCTTAGCAGCTGGTCAAAATGCAAAAAGCCCACCTGGCTTGTGAGGAGAGGTTTTCACATAAGTGTCTGTGAGGGAAATTCTTAAAGTAAATGGTTCCCCCTAGTCAACCAAGGCAAGGTGCATTTTCCCCAGAGCTAGACAACTTGTTTTGCCATGATAGGCAGAAAACTTCACAAGCACCTCTCCTTTCTTCAACAGCATAAACACAGTAAAATCAAAATAAATTGTCAGCCGATATGCTATAGTCAAGTAAGAAAAAGAGGAGCCTCTGAATTCTCATAGCCATTTTGTTTCAGCTGAGAAACCACATGAGCAACAAATGATGAAGCTATTTGGCCTAGGAAGGTTATTGGCATACTATTTTTAACAACTTTTAGAAGTTACTTTCTAAGACTATACCAACGGCCATTGTAGCTGAAAATTCTATTAACAAAAGAAGTAACTTTTCTGAGCTCCGTTTAACTATAGCTACTGGATCTGGGAAGAACTATATTCCCTGTGCTATGTGTAACTTTTTGTTTTCCTTAATATAAGATATATTGTATTCAACAAATCATATTTCTT